CTATATAAAAATATATATTTTATATATTAAATATAAATACAATTTCAGTATTTGAAGCTAATAGACAGAAATGAGTATTTTAAAAACGATTTCTTGCTTGATCTAGGAGTACAAAATCCACTAACTTTTTGGCAAGGCTGGTTTTGAAAATCTCACCCAGGTGTTATGGATGCTTGCAGCTCAATTTAGGTTTAGAGTTTGCAGTGATTTTTCAGTCAGGCTCACAGTTTCATTCATAAACTCCTTTTACATGTGAAACTTGCTAATGTGAGGTGTACAGAGATGCTAACAGACACTTCTGTGATTGAAAGCAAAGCCAAAGAAACCAAAGAAAAGTTGTTTAAGTAAGGAATTGTGGCCATACAAAAGGAATTTATGTTGACTTGACTTTTTTGTTTTGTTTGATTGATTTTTACAAATATTAAAGAAACATTGTCTTGCTTAGAGCTTCGTTTGTTTGACAGGGAAAATAGAAGTGTAGCTTTGTAACATGAAGAGACCCAGCGCAATAACAGGTCACCAGGGTGCATGGGTAGTTGGGCTGCAATTTGACGAGGACATTAGATTGGCGCTGTTCTGAGAGCAGGAGCGCCACCTCCTTCAGTTGGCTGCTCTATCTTTCATCCCATATGTTTGTGGAGTCACATGGTGAACCACATCCAGAATCTGATCTGACTGGCTGCTTAGGGGTTTGGGGTTTTGTTGTTTGGGGGTTTTTGGGGGTGTTTTTTTGTAGTTTTGGTTTGTGACAAATTGAAGATGTTCATGCAACTGTAACCTGGTTCTGTCTGTCCAACTTCAGGAAATTTTTACTGGAATGTGAATTAAATATTTGGATAAAATATTTTGCATTATGAAAATGATGACTTTAAGATTCCGACCAGGGTTCTTATCTTTCCAGCACCTGCTATTCAGTGCTGTTTCCCTTTGGAAATAATTAGGAAAGGACTTCAGCTTCTGAAGCACTGTGAAATTGCACTATAGCCACAGTGGCATTTTCATGCTGTACCTAAAAAGGATTTTACAGACTTTACCCTACAGAGGGTGCTTAAGATTTAATGTTGATGCATTACTGCATTTTCATTCTGTAAGAAATAATAGTCATTTAAAAAAAAAAATTCTTTTACAGTCATTCAGAATAAGAATCTGTTCTGAGTTGGGATATGCTATTTTACACTTCTGTGATATTCAGGATGAGATAGGATTACTAAGCTTGTGTTGTAATGATTTTTCTATAATTTATTTTGAGTTCTGTATTTAGTAACTCTTACATTATTGCTACTAACAAGCAGGTTTGATGCAGAAGAGGAATTTGTTCTTGTGAAAATCTAATCAGCTGTGGAAGTAAGAGTTGTGAGGAATGAATTTTACTGTGTGTCTCACTGCAAAGTATAAAACTAGACTAGATGCTTCTGCCCAGTTCTGCAATGGAGAATGACATTTGCAGATTTCATGAATTGAGTAAGGTAATAAACCAGATGCACCAGCACCTCAAATCAAACAAATCTGCAATGGATGTTCTAAGCCATTACCGATTACTTGTGCCAGGGTGTAGTTTACTCTAAACAGTGATGCTAAAAATGGCATAATATTGTGTTCTTTCATGAGGGTCACTTAAGGAATTTTTTTTATTTTTATTTTTATTTTTTTTGTGCAGTAGTGGTCAGTAGTGTATAGAAAACCAGGCTGGTTCTGTGTTTTAAAATGTATTTTGCATTGTAACACAGGAGATTTGAGCCTGGATTGAAATTTCAGTGAGATTATTCCCTCTTGATGGCTCAATCTGTCACTCATAGTCAACGTTATAAACGCCCATGGGAATGTCTTCAGTTAAAAGGAAACAAAATGAACTGTTAATGAATGTTGAGCAGTGCCTTTGCCTCTACCAGACTTGAAAAGATAAAATGGTTGAGAGATGTGTTAGTGTCTTGTCATTTGTCCTAACAGGGAATCGGAGTCAATCTCTTCAGTGAGTGACCTCCACAAAATTCACAAAAATAAAATGAAGTGAAGCACGAACTGCTGTGGTTCCACTGCAGAACACAGCACAGTAGCTGAAGATATTAAGTCTGATATTGCTTAAGGGCAGAATTGTTCTTAAATTTTAGTAATTACACTTGAGATAATCCTAATAACAATAATCCAAATAATCTGAAATCCAATGCAAAATCAGTGCTAAAATAACCTATTTGTAGTTACAGTGTCAGCTCTGGTTTGACAGTGAGATCGTGAGCTCCATTCTTGATGACTCTCAGCAGTCAAGTGAATTGCATTTCTCTTGTTTTAATATGGATGAAAAAAGTATCTTGTTCTAATTTCTCACTTTTTTTAAAATTTTAGTTGTTGACCTCCTTTACTGGCGAGACATTAAGAAGACAGGAGTGGTGTTTGGTGCCAGCTTGTTCCTGCTGCTTTCATTAACGGTGTTCAGCATCGTGAGCGTGACGGCTTACATTGCCTTGGCCCTGCTTTCTGTGACCATCAGCTTTAGGATATACAAGGGAGTTATCCAGGCAATCCAAAAGTCCGATGAAGGCCACCCGTTTAGGTGAGATTTTTCTTTTCATTAAAAGAAAAGGATGTTGTTTGGGGGAACAGTAGTACTGGTGCTGTTAGAAGCAGTAGATTACATATGCCATAATATGTTGCATAATAATGTAAATAGTCTCTGTACTAAAAAATCTGTTACCCAGCCTGTGACTACTCTTCTTTCTGTTTTCTCAGTGGGCATACACAACAGTAAAGCAAATGAATTGAGCACTTGGTGCAGGAGATTTCCCTGGGAATGCTAGAGTATCTTAAGTTACATTTAAAAAAACCCCAAACAAATAAAAAAAACCAAAACCCCCCTTCAGTCTAACGGACTAGAATGGTATAGTCTTCAGAATGTGAACCAGTGGCAGATGATGTGCAAAATTTACAGAATACCCAGGAGATGCAGCACTTCCAATGCAATAAATTTAGCAAAAATCAGAATAAACATAGCAGAACATACTTTTATCTTTTTGTAACTTTTTTTTTTTAAGAATACTCTTAGAATTTATGTTGAGTATGTGGCAGCATAGCTGTGTTCTCCATGTGAAAGGCTGCCTTGTCATCAGCAGAATCCAGGTTCATTGCAGCCTACCCAGATCAGAAATCCAGAAACTTGGACTCTGAATTCTAAGGCTTGAGGCACTGAATCACAGGATTAGTTTAGGTCTTCAAAGAGGACCTCCGAGCTCTTTGCTTTAAGTGATGAGCTAAGTCCTTGGGTCCTACCATGTGTGCGTTTCCCTGCCGTGTGGGAACACGGGATCCATGATGTGCATCCTTTCCATGTACAGCGGTGCCCCTTATTGCAAAGCTGCATCTTAAGAGAAATAGAAACTTAATTAATATGTTAAGAGTAATTACTAAGAATGCATGTTTCCTGCTTCCATACCAGGCCTGTCCCACACTGTTCAGGCTTCCTTCTCTCCTTTTATTAATCACGGAAGTGGTTCAATCTCAATTTCCCTTGCACCTTTCAGAAACTCCTGCTTGCCTTCCTATTTACAGCTCTGTTACTGATTTTGTGGTGTTTCAAATTATTCTTGTTCTCTTCCTCTCACCTTCAGTAAGGCAAAGTAAAATGTTTTCTTGGGTTTACCTCCATTCCTCCCTATGTGTAGTGGCTCATTTACCCAATCTGTACCTAAAAAAAAAGATGAGTATTTGCTTTCAAGCTTGGATCTGATATAAGAAAAATAGATCTGAACAATCGGCAACAACATTCAGGATAACAGTAGGAAATAGATAACTTCCGTAAACTTAGCTTTTTGATTGTTTTTTTAACCATCAAGGCCTTGTCTGGCCCTCTTTATTCACCCTCACTAGATGAATAATTCCCAGTTGAAATCCTGTTTGCTCTGTCTACCCAGTAGTGCTCTTCAGTATCCAAACAGCATTTCCAAGTTGACCAGTTAAGTTCTGTCTTGTTCTACCTGTGCTCTTTCTGCAGTTCATTTCTCAATATACTGATACTCGTAAGAAGCTTCCAGGCATTCTTGTCCACCATACCTATAGTAGCTTACTTTGTACCTATATAGCTTCCACTACAAGAAGGGTATTTTTACTTGAGTTTAGTATGACAGTGAAGAGCATGTTCATGAGATCAATTTTAATTTTTGATTCAGGTATTGGAATATCTTATTGATGAGTTGAGAAGAGTGTGCAGATTCAAGCCAGCTGTGGATAGCGGAATGTAGCCTTGAAATGGCCGCCCTCTGCAGTTACTGTTCAAAGCGTTTTAATTTGTCTTGGGCTTGCCACAAAGCCATGTTTAGTTTTGCCTTAAATGACATCTATAGGAGCCTCCACTGTGTGTTTTTCTTTATTAAAAAAATAAAAAAAAAATCAACCAAAACCATCCCAAAGCAGAACCCCCCCCAAGCCCCATGTAGTTTTTGTGGGATTTTTTCTATTTTGAGAAATGTAGGAACGTCATAGAATATTAGGCCGCCTAATTTAGCAAAAACACAAACCCCACACTCCGATAGACTCTGTCTCTTATTTTTTTATCTCAATACACGTTGGCCTTGTTAGTGCACTATATTACAGCATATGCTGTGGAGTAGGAAGAGACTTTGCAGACCAGTGTCAGTGGTGCTGGACGCTCTCTGGGCCACTCGCTAGCCGTGGCTGTTCACACATGTATGTTAGCCAGCGCACCTTTTCTGCCTAGTCCAGAATGACTTAGGAACTGCCCTAGCACAACATAGCTGTGAGAAAGAAACATTTCTTTTATTTTCTTCCAAGAACCTTTTTTCTTAAGGTTTGCTTTTACCTTCTAATAATAACTCTAGGTTAGTTCTGTTCTGTCCCTTCAGGGTTTCTCATATGGCGAGGTTTTTCTCTTTATAACATAAAAAGAGTGTGTGTTAACATTGTATCTGTAACATGTAACGTGCTGATACTGTTTGTCAGCCATCTTACAGTAAAGTTTCATAAGCTCTTCTTTCTTGCAGGGCTTACTTGGAGTCTGATGTAGCTGTGTCTGAAGAGCTTATTCAGAAATACAGCAATGTTGTGCTTGGTCACGTTAATGGCACAGTCAAAGAGCTGAGACGTCTCTTCCTAGTCGATGACTTAGTTGATTCTCTGAAGGTAAGTTCACTTCAGCTGTAGATAGAGCAGCCTTGTGTAAATAGATTCCTTGCTGACCTAGCTTAGGAAAGCCCACTAGTCCTTATAAACCTGAATGAACAATGGCATCTTTGGCTCCATATAGGTAAATATTGAATTTTAGTTTGCTTGTTGGAAGTACTAAGGCTTTTGTTTTTCAAGAAGTAAAACTTCGTGTTAGCCACACTAAGTGGAATATAAAGTGCTGTCATGGTTTAACCCCAGCTGGCAACTCAGCACCACACAGCTGCTTGCTCGCAGCCGCCCTCCCCAGTGGGATGGGGGAGAGAATTAAAAAAGTAAAATTTGTGGGTTAAGCTAAAAACAGTTTAGTAGGACAAAAAGGGAAGAAAATAATAATAGTAATAATGATAAAAGAATATACAAAACAAGTGATGCACAGCACAGTCGCTCACCACCCACTGACCACTGCCCAGGTAGTTCCCAAACCACGGTGCCCCTTGACCGACTCCTCTCAGTTTATGTAACTGGCATGACGCCATATGGTATGGAATACCCCTTTGGCTGGTTTGGGTCAGTTCTCCTTGCTTTGTCCCCTCCCAGCTTCTTGTGCACTCCCAGCCTCTACTGGCAGGGCAGTATGAGAAGCTGAAAAGTCCTTGACTTAGTATATGCTTAGCAACAATTAAAACACCAGTGTGTTATCAAGATCATTGTCATGCTAAATCCAAAACACAGCACTATACCAGCTACTAGGAAGAAAGTGAACTTTACTGTAGCTGAGAGCAGGACAAGTGCTTCCTGCAGTAGTAGAGTAGATAACTTCAGCTGAACTTTATTTTGACAGTGTGATAAAAATGAATGGAAAACTGAAATAAGCTCTGGCTGTATGCAGTTGAGCTGTTACACCTCCTTGCTGGTGCTTAACAGCAGAAATCTTTTAAGAAAACAAGACGTTGGGCATTCAGAATTTGTCACTAACCTCTTGAAAAATCTGTGTTTTGGGCTGGACTGGCACAGTCTGGTTTGGTTTTGTTTTCTGTTTGTTTCTGTACTGAGACTAGCAAGTGTCAGTACAGAAACACTCACTTTAAGGCAAGTAACTCTTACACTTACTGGCCTTAAACAGTTGGAGTTCTTGTGTCCATTTGTTTTGTTGGAAGAGTGGGGACTGAGTGATGCCCTTCTTTTGCTGGGAAGGTGGACACCTGTTTCAGCCCCTGGATCTGGGTGTGAATAGCTGCTTCTTTTAGTGATGCAAATTACTGAAATGTTTTGCAAGTTACGCTATCTCAGGTGTGCAGTGCTGCCTGACAGGTATCTTTAATATGTCCAAGTGGTATTTAACAGGATTTATTGAAGGTGGCAGAGCAAAACTTGACAATGAAGAATAATAATTTAAAAAACTCAAAAAGAAAAAGAAATTGGCTGAAAAGCCTTCAGTTTTGTTCTGTAAGAATTATATTCTCTCCTTTCAAGCTAATTGCCTTTCTTTGTTTTCAAACAATTGTTTCCTTTACAAAGTACAATGTGTGGTCCGTTTCTTTTTCGGTTTACTTAATCTTTTTGAAGTGAAGCTGCATTTATCCTTCAGTAAAACCCTGATTAGTGCTTTGTAAAGTCCTTTGAGTTCATGTGGGGTTGGGGGAAGTGGTTTCTAGTGAAACTTGGAGAAAAATAGGAAGGCTGTAAAAGTCTTTGTTGTATTAGTGGAATAGTTCTATTTGTGGAATAGAAACTGAAGGCAGATCTCAGGATCTTACCCAGAGTTTCTAGATCCAGTTTCTCTTTATGCTCCACAGTGAAGAGTTTGTGCCAGAAATGTTGCAGCTGATGCTGTGCAGGTCTCCTGCAGTAAAAGTCCTTTCCCTCTGGAGAAGGGAACGATTATAAGGCTGTCAGGTGGTTACCTGGAGTCTGCTGCTTGTGATGAAGATTCATTTTCTCAGGAGGAAAAGAGGAGATGGGATATTAGTCTGGGGTTTTGTGTAATAATCTCCCTGCTCCTAAAGGGTTGTGTAGTAAAAGTATTTTTAGGAGGTGGTTGTGCATTCTTATTTTCTGGTCATATTTCTGTATGTGATTGATAATGCTGCAAAATGGCTTAACTAAGGCCGTTGGTGTCTGTGCCTTGCCAGGGTTTCTGCGCAGGGACTGCATTTTGATGGCTGAATCCTCACCACTGCCCATCAGGCTGGTCTATAAGAAGCTGTGTCTCGCCTTCACACTTAAGTGACTCAGTACTTAGGATTCATCTCTGCAGCATCTGAAGGCCACAGCCTTGATCAAGAGAATTATTGTAACATGGCTAGAATTACATTTTGGTAACTTCACCTTGCTGTGCAAGGAAGGAACATACTCTTTGTTAAGTTTTTTTAAGGGCATTGAGTTTCAGTGTTCAAAGAAAAGTTACTTTGCTTGTGTTTAGATCTGATTAAACAACATCACAGAAAAAACTTGCAGTCACAAGGTCACTTGTATTTCTGTAATAATTAAGCCCTTTGTGGTACGGTCCTTCATCTGAGGTACAAGAATTTCTACACCAATTGTTTAATCACAGTCCCTTGCAGTAAAGGAAAAGGAAGCAGTGAGCAGCCAACTGCTGTTTCAGTTAACACTGTTTTAAAAATCAGGCCTTTCAGAGGAAACATGTTAGAAGTACAATTAATTCCAGTCAGAATGTCTTCAGGGCACTCTAATCACTTTTAAAATTCTTACAATGTATAGGAAAGACATGTTCATTCAGCTGAACCAATTCATTTCTCCTCTCTTCTTCTGATATTTAAAATGTTTTATGTAGGTCAATTAGTCTAATTTACGGTAGTTGGGAGCAACCCTTATATGAAGCCAGTGAACATCAGAACAGTTCACAAGCACAGGTTACTGATTTTGAAGAGTTTGAGAGTTTTGTGCTTGAGGAGAACATGAAGATGCTGGGGTCTTATGTAATAGAATGGCCCTGGTTTAAAAAAAAAAAAAATCTTGGCTCATGTGGTTTAAACATCTTCACTATAGGAAACAGCATGTTTGTGTATCATTCAAGTTACAGGGCTTTAATGTAGAAAACGTCTGCAGGTCAGTTTATTGTGTGTAATAGTTCTGGCTGTAAAATCTGTCTTGTTAAGATTTTTTTATTAAACAATGCTTCAGTCATGGAAGCCTTAAAATGGGCTCTAAATATTTATGCAGCACAAGACAAAGTTCCTCATAGCTCTTGAGGAGCAATTGCAGAGGAGCCCTTGCCAGAAAGTCCCAGGAGAAAACTGCACTTTGTCCTGTTACACAGCGATCTGGTGCTTCAGCCCCAGCTGCACAACAGTAGCTGTTCTGACACTGGGGCACAGTTGCTTTCAGTTTGTTGTTGCTCAACTGGTGTTTTGAGAAAGAGAGCTCTTTGCTGTATTTGAACTACTTTATAGTAAAGAAACTGATATATGGACATTTCTGGATTTGCCATTAAATTGCAGGATGCTTTGGGTACTGGGGAGTCCTTAATCATTGGAATGAGGAAGGCAAAAACTCGATTTGGTCCATCAGATACACTGGGGTTTTTTACTGGTTTACATATTGCAACGAACTTGGGCCCTGTGCTTTCCTGCTGTCCTGGGTGTGTAGGAAGAGCGATATTATCTATATTGGTCAATCCTGGGTTGCCTTCTGCTATTTTTTCCATCTTAAAACTTTAAGTGTTTAGACCTTTTTCTGGTAAGCCTTTTTGCATTTGTTTTGTTTTTTTTCTCTGATTTTTGTCTCATTTCTAAGGAAAAAAAAGAGACCAATACAAAATAGACCAACATGTAAATGTAGGATTGAGATCAACTCCACTTAATCCTGTGAGTGTTGTTTTAACTGTCAGAAGTGTGTGAAGAGAGAAGGAGTTGTGGGAGGAAGGTTCTGTGGTTTTTGCTGAACTTCATTTGATTTGGTAGCCCCAGCTTTCAAAATAGCTCTTCCTCACTGATGCAGCAGAGAGAAGGGGAGTGGTCTCACTGGGGTCAGTGGGTCACTCCTGCCCAGTATGAGTAAGTGAAGTGGATTAAAAACTGCATGTGCAACACAGTGTGTTGTTAGAAAAGAAGAGAGAAGCAAAACCTGTGACGGTCAAATGTTAACTCCAGGATTTTGATCTTTCTTGGGCCATAAATTCAGTGCTCACTAGATAGGATTGGATAGTTCTGATAACTGTTGGACTTTGGGATCGATTCATATCTGTTAACCCTCTGCTTACATAAAACCACATTTTCTGACTTGGTCGTAGTCTTCAGCAGCATTACTGAACGTTCACCTGACCAGGGTGGTGCTTGGCTTCCTGAATTGTGTTCATGCAGAGGGGACCTTGGGTAGCTGTCACGATGCTTTGCTGGGTGTGCGTGAAGCCAGCGTGTTTAGCTAACTGAATGCACAGCCTGCAAGAGAATCGATCCGAATGATCGCGCACTTGGGGGCTTTTTGCTGTGGTACAAGTTGTTGACTTTCCTCCCTTTGCTGGGGAGGGGGATGTGCTGCATCTACAGCCTTGCTCTGAAAGGAAAATATTTGTTCTGTTAAAACGCCTTGTGCGCAGAGGCAGGCAGCCAGCGGTCACCCTGGCATTGCGGAGAGAACTGGGCCAAGGTTTGAATGAATCATGAGGGAGTTCAGAGAAATCTGCTTTATTTTTCTTGATAAACCTGCCAAAATCCTTCAGAGGGAATGCAGTTGGTGGTAACATTGCAGCCTTGTCTGAGGGTTAACTTTGCACCTAGTGCTGCTCGTGTCCCATCTAGAAAGGACAGATAAAGAATGCGTCATTTGCAGTTGATCCTACTGAATTTGAATGGGATCAGCTGTGAATGAAGCTCTTGAAGTAAACTTAATTTTATTGCAGGCATCATGCAATCAAACTTGTAATGATTGTCATGTCCTTATCTTATTGTTGGCCGTTGAATTTGTTTGGTTTGGATATTTTGCATCTTCCGATAAGCTAAAAATGGATGTTTGGATACAGAACTGCTGAGTAACTCCGCTGCAGGCTAGATCCTTGCCCACACCCACAGTCCTTCAACGTGCTTATTGTTCTTCACAGTGCTTTGTACCCATCTTTTCCTCACATGTATCTCCTGCTTATCGCAGTGCTTCGCCTGCAGTTGTTAGCTGTGCTCAGATCTTCTCTCGCTGATGCCAGCAGCAGCCTCCCCACTGCGTCTGTCTGTCTGTTCGGTGCTTTGCAGTGTCTTGCACAGAACATAACCAGACCTGCTTAGTTGATTAAAGGGCTGGGGGTCTCATCTGCAGAGCATTGATGCACACTGCAAAGCGTAATTCAGCACTCAGCAAGAAATAAGTGCTGGTAAATCCATGTCATCTGACATCCAGATCCTGGCTTCTGCTTGGTTCCTTATGGGCTGTGCAACACTAGAAGAAACTGGCTGATTTTCCTTGGGGAAGAATCCTACGCAGAAATAGAGCTGGCAGCCTTCGTCCCCCCTCCACCCTGGTATAGGTCAGAGGTGTGCTTGGGACACTCTTGACCTGTCAGAAAGCTGAGGGGCTTGAGCTCCTGCAGATCTTTGTGTAAAGCTAGTGAAGCGGAGCCCGTCCACCACAGCGGAGCTGTGCAAGTGCAGTCAGCAGGGTGGTGGTGGAACAATGGGTACGAGTTACGGGCTGTGGTACAGAGCCAGACATGATGGCAGTGTGAGGGTTTGTTCAGGTGTCTGTTAACAGCAGGACATCTTTGCTTCTCAATTTATCTCTGACTTAGAGCCGGCTTCCATTTTATGGCACTGTTGACTCCTCTCTTTCCTGATTTTTTTAGTATTCAAAACTCCTATGTTTTTTTTAAGGGGAAAAAAAAGTAAATTAAGCAAAGCTTTCCATGTTACCTTCTAGGCAGGTTTTTCCCAGGATGTGGCAGAAACCTCTGTCTAGTCAACAGTTCATGGAGACCTTTGCTGAGCCAAAGTGTGGTTGTGATAGCTTAGTGCCGCTGTTTGCGCTGCAGCCCCGGAGTGGATGCACTGCTATGTCGGCTGCTGGGCTGCCATGCAAAACAAATGACCTGTTTGCTTTCTTTCTGGCTCTGTCACAGAGTGCTGTGTCATGCACCAGCCCTTTAACCTCTCGCTTGCGTGCCTTGTTCTGTCTGTTTGAAGGGTGAGAGGTAGGAACTGTGTTTTGCCCATCGTTACGAAACGGGGGATTGGAAATGCTGTATCAACGCAGAGGGCACTGAGCGCTCACAGCTTTTGGTCACTGCTGACTTGGGCTGAATTCAGCCCGATGACCTGGACGCAAGAGGCCACATATCCTATTACTAAACCCTTCAGCCATCTTGTCACATATCTATAATTACCTGAGACATACAAGGGTGAAGTAGAGTTTGGGGCATTTTAGTTTCATAGGTGTGTTTAGAGAAGTTCTCTTCACTGCTCTAACTAGTATGGTCTGGTAAGACAGACTGTGGGCTGACATGGTGTTTTTTTCCTTTTTAGTTTGCAGTGTTGATGTGGGTGTTCACTTATGTTGGTGCCTTGTTTAATGGTCTGACATTACTGATTCTGGGTAAGTATTTTAAATTGTGTTAAATACCTGGCATACAGATTAATCCTGGAAAAGCACTGGAGTCTGCTCCATACTCTGAGGCTATTCCTGTGCTCTTGAGAGTGTAGCAAGATGTTAACGTCGTGTGTCCTTTTTCTAGGACATTGATAACACTGCAGAATGGATCATTTTGAATTGCATTGCTGAATTCCTTGAGACTGCTGATTTTTTTTAGACATTGTATCATTTAAAGGCGTATTTTTCTGTGCTTGTCCCTGTCAGGGTTAGCCTTACTTGAATATCATTGCTGTAGTCTGACTTTGGAAGAGGTACAAAATTGGCTCTGCCCATTTCCCACTGCAGGTAGTTTCTTGTAGCTCAGAGCAGGCTGGATTCAGGTGTCAGAAGCCTAAAGCACCTTTTGGAAGAATTTGCATAACCCACAGTGAAAAAGTGAACTGTGACCAGACTTACTGTACTGTTAATGAGACCTGGGGAACAGCCCAGCTTCTTCCTAATAGGGATTATTTAAATTACTGGCCAACAATTTTTATATGTAGCTTAGTTATTTCTTTTTCTTGTACCTTTTTGAAAGAAATGTCAAGGTGAGGAAACTAGTCATTTGTTTTACCTGAATCCCATCCCTTTTGTCAACATTTAGACCTTTGATGTGTTCTTTTCCAGCTTTAATTTCACTCTTCAGTGTTCCTGTTATTTATGAGAGACATCAGGTGAGTATTTAATACAATTCATTAAATGATTCATAAAATTAGATCTGTTAAAGCAAAACCACAAGTGGAAAAAAACCCCCAAGATTAACTTTAATCTTCTAAAATCTTTAAAGACTTTAAAAGACAGAACCTTAACGAGGAGTCAGTGCCAGGGCCAAGAGAAGCAAATCCACTATGAAGTCCAGACTGCGTGCGCTTTCCCCTCCTTTTTTCATGGAAGTCTAGGATGGCTTCCCCAGCAAACAGTTATGGAAAAGGCCTGATTAACCTGGAGGCCTTCTCACCTCTGATCCAGATTTGGTCAGGACTAAAGCAGCAGTAGGCGAGGTGCATTGATCTTGATGTAAGTAATTTTAAAACAATTTCTGAAGAAACCTCTTGGGAACTGAAATTCAGGATTCATGTCTTGAAGGCCTGTGGAATTTGTAGCCCTAGCAAAAAATGGGAGGTGGGAGATGCTTGGTACGGTCCGGTGCTTCTCCTGGGGGGAGGCGAATGCAAAAGAAAGAGGTAAGAAGGAGCCAAAATGAAACACGTATGATGAAATTACAGCAGAGCTTGAGCAGGGACTGTCTTCAGCAGGTCATGGCACAGGAGGGGTGAAGCCAGCTCTGGCTTAGCAGTTCCTTCTCCTCTTTCAAAAACAACGCTGCTGAGGGAGGCCAGCCTGGGACTTAGCAAGGGAGGAAGAAAGGCAGTGAGCAGATGGCGGAGCCTCTTGGGCTCTTTTCTGAGCTCCTAGGAAAGTGCATGGAAATCCTGTAGCCCTGAGGAAAGATGATGGACAATTCGTGTGGCTTAACCTGGGCTCCTCAATCCTCTTGATGAGCTGAAGGCTGCTCTCTGAAGGCGTAAGCTGTTTTTAACAGGCCCAGCCTACCTAAGCAGCTTTCCTTCTCCGTGGTGCCCAGAGGAGCCAACTGCCCCTCACCGGGGGCCCTGGCTGTGCACCCTTGCACTGGGGAGGCCTTGAGAAGAGGCAGGGGAAAGCGCCAGTGACCAGTTCGATGGAACATGCAGGAGCAGGGATGAATTTATTTGGGTGCTTACTACTATTCCCTGCTGTTCCATGAATTCCCAGAGGCAAACACTAACACATGCTGTGGCTGAAGCCGCAGGAGCTCTGGCATCAAACTGGGAAATAAACCTGTTCCTTCTGTTGGGGGTCTTTCGTGTAAAGCACATCTTGGTGCGCTGTGACTCTGCCTTCTGGGCAGCAAAGTGACTGTAAGGGCTGGTCTGTAACATCTGTCATCTTCCATTTCAGGCCCAAATTGACCATTATTTGGGACTTGTGAACAAGAATGTCAAAGATGCAATGGCCAAGTGAGTGGGGTGTTGTTGTTGTTGTTTCGCTTTCTAAATAGTGTTTACAGTTCTTGGTATGTGTGCTACTCCTGCATATAACACCTGTTTTACATGCACTAGTCTTGAAGGACAAAAAGTCCTGTGTTTAAATTTGGAATGGTTATGAAATCAGCTCCTTCCTTTCTTGCTGATGCTGTTGTTAAGTTATATTATATGCATAACTATATAACTTTATCATTTCTAATAGAAAACTGTATATTTAAAACCATTAGTGAAACTTGAAGCCCTCAGCAGCTGCAATTGAGGGAGGGGTGAATGAAGAGGAGTTTAGCAGTTTTTGTTGGTTTCTGAGTGTAATAGTTTTGTGTTACCCTGGTAATTAATCTTCACTTGCTGCTGGGTTTAAGACTGTGTTTACACCTACTGTTTTTGTTTGTTTGTTACTTAAATTCTGTTCTTTTTCCTGTCCTGTTCCTCTTGTAGGATCCAAGCAAAGATCCCTGGGTTGAAGCGCAAAACTGAGTAAAAAGCCTGAAGCAACTTATCGATAGGAAGTTCATCTTTTAAGGGGGAAAAATAAATACTCATTTGGATTTACATGGGGAGGGTCAGGGAATAGCAAAACCCTTGACATTGCAGTGCAATTTCACAGATCTTTATTTTTTAGCAACGCAGTGTTTGAGGAAAAAAAAATAACTGTTTGACTGCCATGTGTTTCATCATCTTAAGTATTGTAAGCTGCTATGTATGGATCTAAAACTAATCATCTTTCTTTATCCTGTGTGCAGCACTGGCTAATACAAAAGATTTGAGAAAGCTGTACATTTTGCTTCATCAGAGGTAGTCCCTGCTGCGTTCCAGACGAGGTAGTGCAGGTGGAGCGGAGGAGAACACTTCCCAGTTTGTGCACTGTGTATGGTCTGTGTAGATTGATGCAGATTTTTCTAAAATGAGATGTTTTAGAAGAATATACCATTTTAGCAAGTTTGGAAAAATCTTGCCTTTTTGGTATGAGTATAGCTGTATTGTGATTTTACTGTTTTATCAATTGCCTATATATATATATATATATA